CGCGCGGTGTCCCCACCTTCCGCGGACCCCGCGCCGGGCGTTGCCGCCTCCGTGGTGGCGGGGAGTTCCCTCCGCCCCGGGCTTCCCCACTCAGGGGTGGGGGCCACGGGCACCTGGGGACCTCTGCCCCGGGCCGCCGTGGCGGGCTGAGGGCTTGGGCAGAATCAATGGGCTGCTGATGGGTGGGAAGCCGGATGCCCGTCGGGCCGTCGTGAGGGGCCGGGGCTTGGGGGTTTCCCGGGGAGTATTTCCCACTTTAATGGCCTCAGGATCCCCCGGGGGGGATCGGCAGGGGCTTTTCCCTGTGTGCCAAAGAAACTCTAACCTACCGAGACCATGTGGTTTTGGGAAGTTGGAGGCAGATGTACGAGCAGAGACTTTGTAGGGCTTAACTTTTTAACGCGGGTTTTGAGGCATCAGGAGCCTTTTCCCTAGAGCACTAGGGTACACACTTCTTACTGGCACACGGGACTTTTCTTTGGTTTGTTTTGTTACATCCCCCTGCCCCTTCCTTTCTGAAGTGGTCTGGGGTCTACAAAATTCCTTCCGCACTTGATTTTGGTGAACTTCAGATTGGGTCGAAATCTACAGGGAAGACTTGAAATAAAACTGCATTTGACTCATGTCAACAAAGGGGAGGGGAGAATAAGCTTTTAACTAAAAATAAACAAAAATGAAACTACTCATAGAGGCGAACGTTAGTAGTGGTTCTGAGTTAATGCCGCTGCTTCGGAGAGAATCAAAGTATATTCCTTAATTAGTTGGTTTTTTTTTAAATGTAGTTTGAGATTTGTTATTAAACTGATTCTGGTAACTTTTTAACAAGAGATTTGTGGTGAGTTTTGAATTGCAAGCTATACTTTTTTTTTTCTTGCATTCTGTACTTAAAGCACTTTGAAGGGAGAAATGATGCTTATTTTTAATCTTTTTAGGGGAAAGGTATATTTTGAGTGACATAAAATATGTCATTTGTAAAAACTCAGATTCAAGAAGGCACTGCAGTAAATTGAGTGGGACCCATCTTTAAAAATCGATTGTTGACACATAGTATTGGATGTAGGCTGCTGTTTCTATGACAGCTATTTAATATTGTTACTTCAGGATTTCTCATCTTTCAGATTGATTTCAGCAGCTGAAAACAGCTGTATGTTCTTTTATCACACAAAATGAGAAACCTGTTGATTTCTGAAGCAACTTGGGCTGCTGCTGCTTTAAAAATTGTTTCTCACATCTTCCAAATTATTTCCAACTTTTACTTTTCTTTCAACAGGAAGGAGTCAAGACTGAGAACAACGATCATATTAATTTGAAGGTGGCGGGACAGGATGGTTCTGTGGTGCAGTTTAAGATTAAGAGGCATACACCACTTAGTAAACTAATGAAAGCCTATTGTGAACGACAGGTGAGGAACTGACATGTGTACTTCCACTGAATAAAACTGATTTAAAAAAAAACCCAAACCTTATTTTCTTGAAAATAGGAACTAGACTAGCATAATATTATCTTTGATAGCATGAATATGCAGTTATATACTTGACATCAGTTTTATCATACACTTGGTTTGTTGATTCTTTGTGAAAACCCTTAGATAGGTTTGGTTAACATCATATATGATTCTAGTTCTATGCCAAAAATGCATCAGATTATTTTCACAACATGTAGTCTGTTTTCAAGGGGATGTAATTTTACTTTTCTAAGAATGAATTTGGTAAAATTTCTTGTCAGGCTCCCTTTTTTTAAAAATCCACTTAAGTTTGTTTTGTGTCAGAACAGTTTATTTTGACTATTTTAACCATTTGGAAGTAAAATTTAAGGTTAAGGATTCCTGTATGTAAAAGTGTAATACTTTCTTTTTACACTAGTGATAGAGGTCAAGAGACTTAACTCCTGAGCCAAGCATAAATGTACCTATATTATAAGGACATTTGAATTTTATTCAGAAAATAGTAAATAGACATCAAGAAGAGGAAGTAAAAGTGAATAGACTGGGAGGTAAACTCAAACTAACACAAAGAAGCTTCCTTTGGTGATGTTGAGTCTGTAACAATACAAAGACAACTTTAAAGATGACTTTTGCAAGTATAACAAAAACTCTGGTAGATTAATTAATCCTGCAGTAACCTGGCAGAAGTATTTTTCTTGTTTGACCCTGAATATATAATACTATAAAAGTTTAGAAAATTGTTTTGTTAGACTAAAGCAACTTATCTGCATTGCAAATTGCCTTCCTAAAAATAGTCTCAAAATAGTATAAGGTTAAGACCTCTAGAAGTTGGGAAATTTAAGTTTGAGTTGACTTCCTCCATGAGACCTAAGGGCTTTTAAAGAAACTTCTTTTTGAGTTTGAACTAAGAAAAAAATTATAACCACAGTATTTTCTTAAGAGAATTATCTTGAGAATAGAATTATTTATCTTTACATGTCAACTTTCTCATAGTTCCTTACAAAAGATACGATCTTCTGTATACTCTTCTTTAAATAATTTTGGTGAAATATCCTTAACAATTAGTAAATGTGTACTTATTAATTGTGCTAAAGAATTTTTGCACTGGTATCGTCCCTATTTGAACGCTAGTGCTGCTTCAGGTTTCGGGAGAATTTTAAAAGGTAATCATTCTGTGGAACTTTTATGTAGCAAAATCTTACACAAATAGAAACGCATCCTTAGATTTGGTGGCTTAAAAAAAATTCTCTATATAGCTTGCATTGCTTTTCTCTAATTATTACAGAATTTCAGCTTTAAATGGTTGTGTTTTTCAACACTTCTGTGAAAACTTTCGAACTTAGAGCCAAGTTAAAAGAACTTTACATTGAATACCCACGAGCCTACTACCTAAGTTAACCATTAACAGTTTACTGTATTTATCTATTGATACTCTTTATCCACCCTAAAATGGTCATATTTAAGTCTTCCCATATTGTAGGGCCCCCAAAGGAGCTTTTTGTGTGATATTTAGCAGATTCCTATATGCATTATACCATTTTGCCAGAAAAACCAAAACATAGCCCATGCTTTGTAGTCCAGATTATCCTTATAGGAAATTGTCCTGTAAGATCTAGTTAGTGGATCAGTCAAGAATTTGGGAGGCTTCCTACTATGTTAAAATAAATTTACTGTATTACCCAGTGTAAATAAAGTGTTCCTTGAAGTCTTTCCGTTATTAGGCATAAGGTTGGGATTATATTTGACTAAACTGGTTGAGGCCACTCTTATTTGCAGTAGAGGGAGAAGAACATTGGTAATCCATAGAAAACGTAATTCCACTACATAGCTGTTGGAATGCAAATATGATTTGAAGATACTATCCAGGAAGAATGTGGAAAGATATTTATTCCTATTTTCCTCTTAAATTGGTAATAATGTCAGAATTTTGAGTGAAACAAGATTCCTGTTTAGTTTTCAAATGGTTTCTCTGATTCTGGGGAAGAGGGAGTTGAAGTGTCATCTAATTGGGCTGATTTCCCTGCTTTTTAAGTGTAGGTACAGGCTATCAAAAGACTGAAATATTTACCCAATCTAATTTGCACGGCTAAAGTCTTTTTGGCAGGTGGGAATTCTTGACCAAAAATTTCCCATCAAGATTAATTGACTGCTCATATTTACTTTCTAATGAACTCATTTGGCATTGTATCTCTGGAGGAGTTCCAGTGAATGCCTAATAGGCATTTCAAACTAAACATGTAAAAGAGGACCCTTAATTCTACTAGAAATCTTTCTCTGGTGTCCTGACTCAATAAATAGCACCATTCTACAGATAATTGTTAAGGTCAAGACCTCAGGGGCCTTCTTGATGATACTTCATAACTCAAAGTCCATCAGCAAATTCTGTTCTCCATCTAAACCTATGCTGTCCAGTACAATAGCCACAAGCCACAGGTGACTGTTTACCACTTGAAATGTGGCTGGTACAAATGAAGATGTGCTATAAAGTGTAAAAATGTCAGTCATCTGCTGAAATGATATTTTGAAGATGTTGAATTAGAACGTTTTTATTAAACTTACCTATTTTTAACTTCTTAATGTGGCAACTAGAAAACTTAAAATTACATATGTGGCTCACATATTTCTATTGGATAGTGCTAAGCCCTCAACTATTTCATTCTATGCTTGCTCAGTTACTATCTCAGAGACTTCTCTGGTTCATTCTGAGTACCCTTGTTCCCCATCACTCAATCCTCTCACTCTTTTGTTCTTGTGTTTTTGATTTGTTTTTTGCATCGATTGTGGTCTGTATTTGTTGGCACTAAAATATAAGTTCTATGAGCATAGGACCCTTTTGTTCACTATTTCTCTAGAGCCTAGACAAAAACCTGGCATATAGAATGTGTTCACATGCTTGTAAAATGATAGAGAACATTCAGACTGGCATCTCCAGAGGTTGGTTTCTAAAGTTTTTCATTCACGTGTAGAATTAGAGTTTGCCAGCTTTATATCAGCCACATATCCTTCAGCTAACTGAGTGCTTACAATTCCATTTTAGTGTGGATTTGCCCTAACATTGTTTATTGGAGTATCAGGTGGTTTCAGAGAGCACAGATTCTTTGGTTTAGTACACTTCATTGGTGTGAAGTGAAAAATGGGGACCCAGTGGGGCATAACTCCAAAGCTCAGGGATGAGATTTGTACAGAAGAGGAAACCAAATACTGGTTTAATGTAAATTCATCTTGTTTGAATTTACATGGTTTATGGAATCTTAAAGGCAAGTTTCCTGAATTTTGGACTTTTGATCTCTGGCAAAATAAAAGCTTTTATTGATAAGGAGAAGCATAAAAACAGGCGGCAATAAAGGAATATAATTTGCTTATGTTCTCCTGGCCCTGCCTTCCCCCCAGCATATAGAAAGTGCTTAGTATTTTGTTGAAGCAAGGAGTCTCCAATGGAGTATTTGCGAATATATAATACTTAGTGATTAATGACTTGATGTTGAATTATTGGCTGCTTTGTGTAATTGCAAATTTAATTTGAATGTCATGAGGAGTGAATTAAGGTTATGGATGTCACCTACCTGGTGAGGGATTGCTTGTACTCCTCAAGACAAGGGCTAATCTGAAAGTGATATGTGTTAAAGACTAGAGTTTTAAAGGAAAGCAATATGATCTTCATGTGGCAAGTGGTTTTAAAGGCCAATTCAGTGAATCCTTGTTAAGGGAATACAGATGTTAAACTTTATACTTTGTGTTAGTATCTTTAGTCCTAGGAACTCAGTTTAATTTTCTCTTAAATATCAATTGAAACAGGGAGTTTGTAACAATAATTATAGTTTGTAGTTTGAGCATGATACAAGAGTGACTTTGTAAGATGCTTCCCAGAAAGCTATTTTTCAAGTTGATGTACTTATAGCATACCTCCAAAGTACTTTATTTTCCTATCTTGTTCTCACATGGCTGCAGTTACTAACAGCTTTGCTGTTTAGCTCCTTTCCCCTTCTCCCTATTCCTCTTCTCCCCATTCCTGTGTCAGGTAGGTAATGCTTGATAAGTAAAACATTGGAGTCCCCTTGGCAGAAGGGCATGCCATTTATCTCCTAAAATACATATAAAATCTTCTTGAAACTAAACTCTAGTAATGTAATTTTTATTTTTAATTTTTTTAACAGAGGTACTGGGGATTGAACCCAGGACCTCATGCATGCTAAGCATGCAGTCTACCACTGAGCTATACCCACCCCCGTAGTAATAGAACTTTTTAATTTCCTTTTTGTAATAAAGCTCCCCAACTTAGTAGCTTTATGTTTATTAAAAAAAAAAAGATGAAGCATGGTTAGATGACTATTGCTTCTTATCCATTTTATTCCTTTAGTATGTAGCACTTAAACCATGTGCAAGAGATACAGTATATAACTGAGTCTAGATTCTTATCCCTCCTAGAGCTAATTTTCTAGTAAAAGGTTGACAAATAATAATTGCACATTTTGGTAAGTACTAAGAAGAAAATTAAAAAGCAAGTGCTTCTTTTGAGCTATTCCAGGAATTTCATGGATGTAGATTGTGGTCTCATGGATGGTCTTAGGAACCAGTTATTGCCTTGTGTTCTGGTGGAAATGTCCTGACTGCCAAAGTATAAGAACTTGTGAATTAAGTCTGTGCTGCGCCTGCCATTGTGCTGGGTTAGGACTTAGGTTACTTTTACAGAGTGGTAGAAATGTTTGGTTAGACATGAAGATAAGGTAGCTTTTAGGCAAAGTTTTATTTTAATCATTACACTTTTTTAGGTGACTTCAGTTTTCATTAGTGTTAAGGTTTTTTTCCTTTTGAATCATTCTTTAACATGCGTTGAGGAATGTTGCTGTGTGCCTGTGTTACTTTAAATTTCCTTACAGTATCTTTCTCACTCATTTAAATGCACTCTTTGACTCAAGGTATGATCTATTGAAGCCTGCAGTAGCTATGGTCTCAAAAGAAATTACAGCTTTTTTAAAAGAACTTTTTTAAGAAAAATATTTTTCCAAAGAAGTTTACACATTGAGTTTAAAGAAAATGATAATCACTCCTAATTATTTAACCAACATAGAAATGGTAGCATATCTCTCTTTTAATACAGTCATGGCCAAATAATATGCATATAGTTTTAGTTCTTACTATTTCTGTGCATTCTTACTGCTTTTAACTCTTTGTCCAGGGTTTGTCAATGAGGCAGATCAGATTCCGATTTGATGGGCAGCCAATCAATGAAACAGACACACCTGCACAGGTAAAAATTTCTTTGGGCTTATTGGAAATTTTGATATTTTTATAATTTTCTCAAGAGCTTTATTTGTGAACTTCTAGACATTGGAGTATAGTTCTTTACCATAGTTCATAGGTGTGTAAAATATGGCCAAAAGGGAACAGAAAGAAAAAAAAAGGAATAGATTCTGGAACTGCCAATGGGTTTTAGATATCTGGTTATCACTTAATAAAGTTAGTAAGTCATTTAGTTACTTTAACCCATTTTTTTCCCTCTTGCCAGCATCATTTGGAAAAAATAATTCAAATTTCTGTCTGTTTCTTCAGAAGGTTGTTTTCCTTTTGTTTTCATTGCTACAGCTCTTACTTATGCTCAGGGTTCCCCACAAGTGGTTGGTTGATGGTTGATCCTAACCATTTTAGCTCCTTATGCTGAATTACCTTTTACCTGTACTTCTGAACTGAAGGGAACTAGTGGCTCTAACTACAGGTCTGTTGATAGTTTATGTTTAACAGTGAGGGCTTTCCAAACCCCAACTACAAAAGATTGTCTGATTCCTTAATCTCTTGACATTTCACTTCAGTTGTTCTTTCACTTTGTAAGGAATCGCCTGGGCTGTCTTATATAGCAGAAATTTTTTGTCTTTGTTTTTCTTACCTTCTCAAATTCTACTGAAGACTTCCACTTTTGGAAAAAAAAATATTTTGATAGAAATTTAAGTTGGAGCCCTTGTACCTTTAAATTTGTTTTATTCCCCCCATAAAAACTGAAAAGCGATAAATATGGTATGAATAAAGCAGCACATTCAGATTGTGGTTTTGTTGATCTTCAAAAATTACAAATGTCTATGAGTTGTACTTAAGGGAAGACTGTTTTGAAGAAATTTCCATTGGCGAGTTTCAAAGAAGCAATTACAGTGTGTAGCCAGCCACAAGGGGGAGCTGAAGTCTCTTGATGAATGAGAGAGGAAAAGCTCTCTCGTATTCTTTGAAGGCATTTAAAGTTTCACTATAAAATTTAACCTTTCAGTAGTTTCATTTCAGTGGATAGGCTGAAGATCAGTTTTGATAGTTTTAAAAGAATAAAGAGAACGCATTATGCTAAACTCCAATGATAATGTATTTTCTGTCTTTTGAAGCCCTCACCCACCACAAAAAAAAAGTTCTGGAACTTGTCTTTTATACAGTTGCAAATATTAAACTGTGAAGGATTTGTTCAGAACTGCATTATAAAATCTTCAAATTGAATATGAAATTGAACTCATTTTAGTATTTGAAATTGCATTCATTTTAGAGTGAAATTAATTCATTTTAGAATTGTTCTCCCAGTATTTATTAAATAGAGGAATTGTGATAATTTAGAACATATTAGCAGCCGATTTTAATAGCAGTATAATTATCATGTACCCATCATTCTGTCAGGTACTTTACTTTCTTTGACTCTTAATTCTCATCATTGAATGCTGTCCCATTTTACAAAAGAGAGAATTGAGACTTAGGGCTAAAACATTAAGATAGTAACGACTACTTTTAATATATTTGAACTTCATTAGAAACAATTCCCTTTTTTGTCTTTGGTGCCCAAGGTGGTGGTTTTATCTTCAAAAATAACCAGCTTTTAGGAAGAATTTTTCATGGGTGATTATCAGCCTAATAAATTGTTACAAAGCTTATTTACTACGCCATATGTACCAAGATCTATCTACTGTCGACATTGTTTTGTGTATAATGTCTAGGTAGTGAACCTTGTAAACTGAATAGCTTTTTAAATTTTAATTTTTTTAACGTCTCTTTTTGTCCATATCTCTTTCCCTACTGCGTAGTGGTAACCACTGTTTTGTGCATAGACAAGGATATTTTCATGTTATACACATACACGGGAACTTAAAATACACAAATGGAATCATACTATAAGCTGTTGCTGCCTAGTTTTAAAATTTTTTTAGCCTGACACAGTAAGGGGTATTTCCATTTCTGCACATGTAAATCTACTTGTTCTTTAATAACAGCTACAAGATGTTTTATGTATGAATGTAACATTTATTTGGGTTTCTATTGATATTTAGGTTATTTTCAGTCTTTTGCTCATCTATACAACATTGCAGTGAGATCCTTTATACACATTACTCTTATTTTCAGTAATTAAAGGTGAAATGATTTAACTCATGGACATACTCAGCTTTTTAACTTAAAAACTTAGTTTTCTATAGTCTTCATAAAAAAGAAGACCACGTGAAAAATTATTTAAATCTAAGCTTGATTCTGCTTTAAGCTATGGGACATCTAAAAGAATGAACACTGGAATTGGGTGAAACTTGTGCAATTTTTCAGGATATTTAAGTCAGATAGTTATAAATTTTAAGAGCTGAATAACCAATGGCCGGTTTGTTTTTTCTCGTTTATGCTAGTTGGAAATGGAGGATGAAGATACAATTGATGTGTTCCAGCAGCAGACAGGAGGTGTCTACTAAAAAGGGAACCTACTACTTTTACTCCAGAATTCTGTTGCTCCAGACCAAGAAGACATTCTCAATTAGAAGATGGCAATTTGGTTCCACCACATCCTGACTACTACAGTATAGTTTTCTCTATTCTTTCATTTTCCCTTTCCCCATTCCTTTATTGTACATAAAGTAACTGGTGTATGTGCACAAGCATATTGCATTTTTTTTTTAAACTAAATGGCCAATGGTATGTTTCGATCGACATCAAATGGAGATGGGATGGGGAAAAATACTGGTTCTGTGAAAATACCCCCTTTCTCCATTAGTGGCATGCTCATTCAGCTCTTATCTTTATATTCCAGTAAGTTATTTTGCGCTCACTGTTTAACAAAAAAAGAACAACATAAAAATCCTTGCATACCTTGTTCAATTGGAGAATTTTAATGTTTTTCATTTATCATTGTAAAACCAAGGACAATTTTATAACTTTTTTGTACGTAGCTGTTACATGTAGGGCAATCTGTCTTTAAGTAGGGATAAATTACTCTAAAAGAAATGAATCCTAGATAGTTTTCCCTTCAAGTCAAGTGTCTTGTTGTTTAAATAAACTTCTTGTTTAAAATGAGCCGTTTTCTTTATTCTGAGGAATATTAAATAGAAAGTTGAAGCTTAGGAAAAAATATGACCTGAATAGACACCTGCTAGAAGAAAGAAAGAAAGTTATTTTGCATTTCTGACAGACTAATGCAAAACAAAGAATAACAAAGTTATATAAATGACTAGCAACGAATGTTTCAGCTTCCTCTCTGTTCAAAAAGTTTAGGCAGTTCCAAACACGCAACTTCACTAGCAAAAAAATTGGTTCATAATGTTGTGGATTTACTCCCAAGTGTGCGTGTGTGTGTGTATTTTGTAACCACTACTTGAGGCAAAGTGGGTTAGTAATGCAGCTAGGAAAAAAATTATTTTGCTAATTTTACTGATAAATCACTTCATCATTCTAAACCACGTTTTGTCTGATGGTAAATCTTCCCTAACCTAAAAATAGAGATTTTATTCCTTATTTGAGGATGTTGAGGGACAGAAAATATTTACCTACATATATCCATTTTTACAGCCTTAAATATATAGGGCACTGCTGTTTTTAAATTCAAGTGTATGGGGAAAGATAACAGCCACAGAATGAATAAACAAGATATTAAAGCTGGAAAGATATGTAAAGATCATCTAATTTTAATCCTTGTTTTAAAGATGAGGCTGAGGTCCAGAGGGTTTATTTATCACACATGGTTCTAAAAGTGGGACTAGAAATAAGGATTTCTAATGCTTATTAATTGAATTTTCCACTATCAGTTAACAAGAAACTAAATTCCCATTCTTACCAATGTGGCCTTTTTGGATCCAGTCCTTATGAACTATCATATATCTTGTCATTTACTTAATTCACTCTACCTCTGTTGCAATATGGTCTTTTTTAGATTCCCCATTTCTATAGTGAATGAGCGTCTCCAGAGACAGAAATTCTGTAGGTTTTTGGCTGTATATATATTAATCTTAAATCAACTGAAGTTTTATTTTCCTATATATATATATATATATAGTGCTACCAACCTAAGCCTGTCCCCAAGAATTCTTAGAAGAGATCAGGTAAGTGCACTTCTCTTGTTGCTGTAGATGACTATTAAATAGTGAAATTTTATTGTCCTAAAAAGTTAGGATTGAAATTCAAGCCAGAGAACTTTATTATTGAAGGGAGTCTTAAATTGGGTTATTTAATGGGAGGAATTTACTAACTAATGTCATGTCTGAGTGTTTGCCATGTTAGGGGAAGATAAACTTTAAAATAAATTATTTCATACTAGAGAAACTTTCTGTAGAATTTTTAAAAACTATAGGGAAATGTGTGGAAAAGGCACTGTTTCATGATATAGTATGTTGTAGCTTGCTGATATTTGGGTCAGTGTGTAACTAATTAAGATGCTCCCTATTTTCTTTTTAAATGAACTTTTCTTGATTGTTGCCCTCACCCTATTTCACGAATTGCCAACAAAAAAAACCATACTCTATGGGAAAGCTTATGGAGCACTTAAAAAAAAAACTTTGAAAATAAGTGAATTATTGAAAATGCTGAAAGTAATTTGAGCATTTTAATTTTTTTGACTTGGGAAGGGAGGTTCAAATGATGGGAGTTATACTGCTGTTTTGCTTGAGTGTTAGAACAGTTTGGCTGAACCCTTTCTGGCTGTGCTTGCTTACCTCACATGTTTACATCCTAAAAGTAGCAAATAGTATCTAAGTGAAACACTGTCTGTATAGGGAGATAATGTTTATTCTCAAGCATCCCTCATGTTCATACAAGGTGCTAGAGGCCAAAAGAAGACATTAGCAATGTTTTAGAAATAAGACTGTTAAGTTATTTGGCTCATTATTTTTCTTGTTTATATTTTCATGGAAGTTACTTTTATTGGATGATCAGATTATGTTCTATCTAAAGAGGATGAAGTTGAATGGAACAGGAAGGAGTAAACATACTTGGAGGGGAAATTGGAGTCTTGAGTCAAAGTCTAATTATTTGGGAGACTGACAGCAGGAGGTCAGTAAGATAGTGGAATCCCAGGATTTGAGGGAGGGCTGTTGGAAAGTTTTTCCAAGGTCTTTGTGGGGCTCTAGGGTATTGGAGAGGGCCAGCTGTGCCGCTGAGGGTTATTTTTGAGTTAGGATGATGCTACTTTTAAACATGACTAGCAGTGATTCTGGATCATGGTTTTGCGTTAGAATCCCCTGACGAGCTTTTAAAAAATACCAGTGCCTGGGCCCTACCCCCAGAAATGCATTTTCAAAGCAATATGGTATTGAGAAGCAATTCTGCAAGACATTCTCACAACTCTTAAGAGTTAATCACTTTATGCTGAAGATTAAATGAGATGATGGGTGTTTTAGTTGCCTAGCACAGTGCCTCCCACATACTGAGCTTTTTAAATAAAAATTATTTTCAGTGTGAAGTATGGCCTCTGCCATAGGATGCTGAGGCTTCAACTGAATACTGTAATCTCTACCAGTTGGCCTGCACTTTATTCATTTAAAAAATGGAATACAGTCTTTGTCTCTTTAGGTTTTAAAATAAAGGCTTAATACTAAATTGTGCCCTAATGAGTCTTTAAGGAAAAACAATCCTCAGCATTTTAATGATTATTTAATGCTTTGAAGAACCAAAGGACCCATCCACAAGATCCTTCAGCATTTTGATTATATAGGTGATTTGAGGGTTAGTCCTTGGATGTAAGAAATAAATGTGTTTTATAATGAGACTTTAGTCTGTGTAGTGGTTAACTAATGAAAAGAGTTCCTCATAGTGGAACATAATTAGCAAGGAGTCTATAAACAGGTTAGGAATTTAATCTATTACTTGGAATGTAGAGTGTTATTTCCCTGTAAGCAATGACATGTGACTGTATGGGATCATTTTACAATTTCCTATACCCTTAGAGCCACTGTAAAACAGTTCAAAGTTCAAGAATTTTCATGTAATATTTTCTTTGCAGTTGATATTTTTAAGGCATATCATGTGACTAACTGCAATAGGTTATAGACTTTGGAATATTAAGAATTTTCCCACCCTTTGGGCATACCCTTTTAAGTTATTTTATGTTTATAATTTTAGCAGTTTTTGCAAAAGAGGCTAAATTCATCTTAGAACAGGATAGATGGGTTAGATTTTTTGGTCTTTGGTGTTTTTAGTTTTGTTTTGTTTTTTGCTTTATTCAATAGAGAAATAGTATCATGAACCTGGGGAAAGAAGACTAACCACGTAATCTCTCTCAGCATTAAGCCTGAGAGGAGGAGGAGGAAATCATGGGAAGACAGGAATCATGCTTTCCCTCTCCAGTTCAGAGTGATGAGAAGGGCATGTCAGACCTTAGAGTTGTATGTACCATTTTGTTTACCTTAACTTTGAATAAAGAGAAGGCAGGAATATGACAAAGCCATTTGCCATATTTGAGAACTCTGGGTTGCTTCATTTGATCAATGGCAAATGAGTTTTAAGAGAAAATAAACTCCTTGGGCTTTCTCTGGCTCTCTCAGTGGCATTGATCTTTTTTTCCCCCGCTGGTGAGGAAACAGCTAAGAAAAGAATGGACAGATGCATACTAAATTTGGCTTTAGGAGTGATGGATACAGAATGTATGTGTGAGTGAGGTACTTAAGGGGCACCCTGCAATACTGGGATTGAGAAGAGAGGCTTATTAGAAATACTTATTGTTGGGCCATTCGTTAATTGTTACTTAACCAAGTTCAAAAGCACATGGCCAGTATTTTTTTTTCCCAGTACTTTCTTTTGATAATAAGGAATAGAAAATATTAAGAGCATATATTAAACTATGGTTTGAACATAAGCAATAACTATTCATGTAGGTCAAAAATAGTCAAATATCTGCAGTTTCATATGGTCCAACCTAATATGTGTGTATTGGTTCACAGTGAAAGACACTATTCTGAGAGATTATTTCAAACCTGATCGTAGAATCTAGGTAGGGTAAGTCCCAGTGATGAGGCCGTGTGGATTGCCGATTTCCTCTGGCATTTTGGAATAAGTAGGGGCAAGTTGAAATTATGGGGGATTCAGAACACTGCATATTAGTGGGAAAGCTAGTAACTCTTAAGGCAAAAACATGTTTGAGAACTAAGAGATGCTATGTTAGTGCATATTTGTGCATTTGGTAACAATTTAGGTATTACCTTAGGCACAAGTGGTGAAGAACAACTTGCAGATTGTTCTATTTTGAGTAACTTGTGCATTACATTCTCGAATAAAACTGTCCACACACCCAGCAACAAACGTAAAAACCAACAGGATTCCTGTCTATGTTAAAGGAAAATTTATTATGGCTTTAAACATTTTCTGACATCTCTTATATAGTAGATTTAAGATTTTTTGCCACCTGCTGCAGAATCATATATTGTGTTCTGAGGAAATTATGAGAATGTTGGGTTTACACCGCTTTTGGGAAAGCTGATTACTAGGCTTTCTGTATTGACTTAACAAATGGGAGAATAGTACTTGGAGTATGATAAGGAAGTGGCAGCATGGGACTAAGGGAAATTGAAGAGCACTTGCTGCTTAAAGAGTTCAAAATGTAGGCAACTGCTCATTCGCCTCCCTGTAACTATATTTATGAGGCAGGTGAAAATGGGCCTGCATATATAGGGCAGTGGTTTTCAAATTGCATCTTACGGAACTCTGAGGTTGTGCAAAAAGAGGGGGACACAGTGGAGAGTGACAAAGGACAAGGGGAAGCAGAGAGGGCCAGGATTTGGGATACTCTGCCCAGGTTCAATCACAGCTGCTCTGTTGTTAATCTATTCTATGTATTTGGATTCTGCTTCATGTAAGTTTGAAAAACACTGTTGTAGGTCATAAAATAGCTGTTAGACCATTCCTTGTCATAAGATTTCATCTGTCTTCTATTTAGATTTATTGGTTAACCTGAGAATCTGAAACAAATTTTGTACTAATACCCTAGATGTTATTTTAAAACTCACAATGGTGGGCCTTCATGATTTTATAAGCAGATGTTCACATTGTCCCATCCTTTTACACCTTTTGACCCTGATCTGTGTTGATCTTTTTGGACAAAATGTAATTTTATTAATGTTCCAATTTCAACTGAGTTGGTCAAATGGAGCAAAGGTTGTAACAGAGCTACATATATCTGTTTTACCCCAACTCTCCATCTTGCAGCAGAAAGTGGAGTACAGTGATTATAGGCAAAACTAGGTAGGAGGACTAGTTATTCTGGAAATTTCAGGCAATTTTACTTTAAAATACAGTGAATGTTCCCAACAGGCCTGCCTGAGATGGCCTTAATCAGGTGTCTGTTTTATATAAATTTACTCTTCATAAATCAGATTAGATTAAAAGGGGTTCCTGATTGCTTACCTTTGAAGCCAAGGTTCTCAGCCCAAGGTCTATGTTGAGCATTACCTGTTTAACTTATTACAGATATCCATGATTGACTGGACCCTACACCTGGAAATTCCAATTCAGTAGATCTCTGGGGCCTTGCATTCATTTATATTCTTTAAAAGCTTATTGGTTATTCTGATGTGCAGCCAGGTTGAGGTACGTCTAATAGAAAGCTTTCATTTATACAGTATTCTTAACGGTTATCTCGTTCCAACCCTCACAGAATAGGTGCTGTTAACCCCATTTTACAGATGAAGAAATTGGGCTCAAGGGTATAAATGACCTAGAAGTGTCTTAAATCAGAAGAGGGCAGACCTCTTTTGGTTTCCACTCCAATGCTGTATTACTACACAAATCTGTTTACTCCTGGAATACAGGGAATGGAGGAAATAAGGCAAGTCAGTACAAACTCAAAAGTTTAGGCCAAAATGGCCTCTAAGTCAAGTCCAAACCCCTCATTTAACTTACAGAAAACAATTTCAGATTGTTAAAACATTGTGATTACTTTCCAAGTAAGTCATAATAAAAATGGCAATTCCTTTGATGACTTGTTATGTCAGGACATGAGCTTTACATCCATTACCTCATTCAGTCTTCACAACTCTATGGAGCCTAGACACTAGTCTGTCCTTATTTTACAGATTAGGAAACTAGTGCTCAGAAAAGGTAAGAGTCAACCCTGAATTTCTCCTTTGAGATCCTGAGCTGGCAACCATCATGCTCCACTACTTCCTAGTTAATAATTGTATGATTTTTGAGGAGGGGATGCATGCGCACAATTTTTTTTAAGTTTTTGGAAATTTAGGCTCAATTTTTATGAAAGGGAAGATTTGAATCCAAATAAGTGGTGAGATTCATGCTTTTGTGGTAAGCACATAAAGACATGGCTCATGGCTTCCAGAAGAGATGAACTTGTCTCTGACGTTTTTGTAAAAGCCCAGGAGAGTGGTTAACCAACTTAAACTTAAGCTGGAAAGGAGGAGACCAGACAAAAGAGGAATGTAGTTCACTTGTTATGGAAATACTGAGAGAGAGATCTGCCTTGAGAGAACAGCATGACTTGGGAAGGCCTCCCTTCTTGTTTGCCCAAGACTTTCCTATTGCCATCTTGTAAACAGTCATTCCTGAGCCCTCCAAGTGTGTCTGCATTTGTTGCAGGGATAGATTTACCCAGACAGATGGAAGAGTCATGACTTAAGGGTTATAAACAGCTGCAGAGGCCTGGGCTGCCCGGATAGTCTTAGTAGCAAGGGATGTGGCCATTCCCCCGAGCTGGGCATTAACTAGCCTTAGAACAGGCCCTCAAATCGGAACGACTGCAATTTTCGTCTAGTGCGTGCACCACCCATTACAGCTAAATAGTAACAATTAAAATGTAAAGAATTTACAGTCGTTTTAGAAGGGATCATCTCGGCGTGCTTTCTGTTGCTGACTCATAGTGCTGCTGCTTTGGTATTGTCAGATTTCCAAACAGGACACATAGTAGGTATTCAGTAAATGTCAATTTACAGCAGTAATTGTAATCCCTTAACGAGCATGCCTTTGCTATCCCACTACGAGTAAGGCAAGTATGTGAATGGTAAAGATAAATCCGGCCTCGGCTAACTCGCCCAGAGCTTTTCCCTCTATCGGGTAACTTATAAGTGACAGCGAGCAAAACTTGTATCGGGCGCCTGGCAGGTTTGTCCTTTGTCCAATCATCTCTGAGACTTGGGGGTGGGGGACGGGGAACTTCCCTAGACCTTCCCTGACCAGGAAGGGGGCGGGTTTAGGCTGAGTAGGGGCCGCCTCAGCCCGTCCTGACGCTGCATGATGCTTGGCACTCCAGGGAGCCAATTGGAGCGAAGAGAGCCCTTTGAATCAGCCAATGCTGGCGGGGCGGGGGCGGGGTTTGTGAACTCTATAAAGACGGGGTCCGGGAAGGTAGCAGGCAGCAGAAGCTCCTGCAGCAGTGGCCGGCGTTGGGGTGGGAAGCTGCTCTCCACCCCTCCGACCAGACCCTTTCAGCGCTCTGCTCCCGCGCCAGCCTACCTCCCTCCTCGGCGCCATGACCACCACCACCACCTTCAAGGGCGTCGACCCTAACAGCAGGAATAGCTCCCGGTGAGGCGGCGGGGCTCAGGGGAGAGAGGGCCGCTGCTCAAGGGGGCCGGGTGGGTCAGGCGGCCGGTCGTTGGCCGTAACGTGCCCGGGGCGCTGCGCTCGCGCCCGGCTGGGCGGCGGATCTCAGCCACCGGCACCGCCTTTGTGCCGCGGGCAAGCTTGGCGGTCCGGCCCCGCCCAATTGCTGCTCCTCTCCGATTCATTCCTACCCCTGAGCGAGGGGCAGGAGAGGGCCGGGGCCACTAGAGGTTGCAGCGCGGCGGGTTTTCGTTAGTCGTTGCGTGCCGAGAAGGGTTCACTTTCTCCCCTTGGCGGCATAGCGAGCCGGGCCTCAGGGGAGTGGGCTTGGGCCTCGGGTGCCCGGGCAGCCCACGGGGCTCCTCGATCAGGCCCCATTGTCCCACCCCCGGCCACGCGCTCAAGCCTCTGGCCCGGGGCAGGTGGCGGCCCCGCGCCCGGCGTGGCAGTCAGATCCTGCAGCCGCAGCAATCAGGTCCGGCTTGCTGCTCTAACCCGCTCGGGCCCTCCCAGCAGGTGTTTGTGCTCGGGCGGGGCTGGTCATCGCGACCTCCACCCCCCGTTCAGGACCCAGTCGTCAGCCCTCTGCGAAGTGCCTCCCCTCTGCTAACAAAGGAAAGACCCCTGCTCCTTCCCCTCCCGCGCCCACCTCCGGACGGGAGGGGGAGCGAGTCGGTCCAACTGGGTTTTTCTGCGCTCAAACCTTCGGACCTCGGTCTTTGCATCCCACCTTTTTCGCTCCCGGCTTTGACGTTTGCCAAATGAGTTCAGCCCTGGCCCCGGTTCCCTTGCGGGAGGAGGTTTTCTGTTCTTGGGCGGGGCCGGAGACATCCATTGTCTCTTCCGTACTATCTCCACCTGCGTAGCCGGAGCCTTTCTGACCACTCATGCCACTGCGTTTGGAGAAGGGGGCACTGGGCACAGTGTTTGGACTGGGACCCTTTTCCAAGCACTTGCCTAACTTGGTAGAAGGGTTTGGATTCCTTGGAAGACGTCCACATTGTCTCGGCTGATAGCGTGCACGCTGTTCTTTAAGGTGGGATAAGGCGTCTCTGGGATCCTGCTCAAGGCGTGGGGGAAGCTTAGATTTTTCTGGATATCTCTTCTTAATTGATCACGACCAGCAGTCATGTGTGGCCAGCCTTGAGGTCTTGGGCAAGTGGCACAAAGGGAGCCATTTTGTGGGGCTAGGAAGACAGCCGTGAAATAGCAGTGTCTCACAGGGGTTGGAGACCTTGGGGACAAAAAGCAGGCCTTAGCAGAGTCTTAAAAGAGGGTGTTGGAAATGACGTTCCTTTTCAACCCATTCCTTTCCCTTTCACAATGTAGAAAAGAATAGGAAAGATTAAAAAAACTAAATTAGTGGGTTACTGGGAGGAAGGGGAACTTGAGTAGGGTAGACCTACAGAAATACTGGTCACTCCCTCTTCTGTTGTCATCCTTGCAATGAGATCATTTTTTCTTCAGAGGACACTGGAACAAATTGAACCTTGGTTTTTCATTTTGTGCCATGAGGTCAACTTTATGCTGGTCAGACTGCAATGATTGAAATGTGAAATTCTACACATTATAGTAAAAAATCTGAGGTTTTATCCTTTGGAGTTGAGTGCAGTTTAGTGCTTCATAAAGAATTTAACCATGTCAAATGAATCCTCACTAGGTTTTCTGATACGTATCTTTGAAATGTCAGCCATGAATGGTTTTTGGTTCTGCAAAATAAATGTTTTCATTCACCTTTTGTCATCAATTTCCTTCCAATATTGTGATCTCAAGACTGTAGCATTGTCTTTTTATTTACTTCCTACCTTTCCTTCTTGTATAGTCTCACTTAATTCTCCTAAACTTCTCCAATAACATTTTCCTGTCTCCATAAACACATTGTAAATTTACTGTGGTAGGGAATGATCTGCAGAGGTTATACGGGAACTCTGGGATTTAAAGAGAGAAGAAAGAAAAAGAGTGATTTTCTGAAAATTGCTATCTGCAGTGCATGGACGCATTTTCGTTGAGTCTCAAGATACGTAATCCTGATTACGTTGTCTCATGTATCATTCAGAAAGAATAGCAGAATCTTAAAAAATAAAATTGAAATAATTTCTGCCTTATGAGCCAGATCCTTTGTTTGGGGATGTCTCGCCGTTACAGATGGGCTCTACAACACTGACGTCATCGGAGTAGGTAGTACCTGCTATGGCAAGAGGAACACAGACCTTTAAAAAGTTGGGCTGGTCAGAGCTTTCGCTTTCTTTTTAACCTGGCAGTTGGGTGCTAGTGTCTTTTCTTTTTTTAAGGCCAAAAAATATTTCCTGGCTCTTTAGGTTTCTGAAGGTTTTCAGCTGGCTAAAATAATCCATGAGAGTTTAATTATGATAGTAAGGAAAAAAATTGATCTAATCTTTAGGGAGTGAAGGGAAGCAAGTTAATGCTGATTGTTAACATTTCAAGTGTCAGGTGATTTGAGATACAAACAATAAAAACCTATTCGTTTCAAACTCTTAATATGAGAGAAAGCCTGTTCAAAAATGTATAACATAGCTTTATGATTTAAACAATTTAATTAGCAAACCCTAAAATTATCCTTATGAAAGATATGCCTGAACACGTTTATCTTGATTCACATGATGAATTTAGTCTAAGTGGATAGTTCATATCTGAGACTTGACAAAAAAAAAAGTGGGGTTTTAAATCTTTTACTTGTTACAAAAAGCACAATGGGTCTTCCCCCCTATAATAGGGAAAATAATGACTTTTTTAGGGTGTTTTTTTTTTGATGGAGGTACTGGGAATTGAACCCAGGACCTCGTGCATGCTAAGCAGGCGCCCTACCACTGCGCTATAATACCCACCCCACACCACCGTGGTATTTTTATTTAGTGTAAATTGAGTATTGAATTTTACTATGGACAGATTTGAATATTAGATTTAGAGGGGAGGACACTAGAGGACTTACAGAAGAAATATATTCAGTCTAGAAAAACTAGAAAACAAAAAAAGGTAATCAAAGCACCAACTACATAGCATAGATTTGTAGTTTAAAGAGAAAAATGGGATTGAGTGTTTCCTCTGTTGAAGCACTTTGAGCACTTATGTGCCTGCCAGGGACTGAGCATTAGGGTTTTGGCCCCATTTCTGTCACTCAGCAAATGTTGGGCAATTTATTTAGAGCTTCTCAGGGCCTGACTTTGTTCTCTTAAAAATGAGGCTGTTTTGTTGAACTAGATAGTGCAGAGCCCAGCGTACTACCACCCCGAGGGTCAAGCTCAGCTGGCATCTGATTTTTACATTTATAAATGGTTAACAAAAGCAAGAAGAATCCTTCATGACTTTCGAAAATGACATGACAATCAAATTTCAGTGTCCATAAAGTTTTATTGGAACATAGCCACACATCGTTTACATGTTGTCCATGGCTGCCTTTGTGCTATGGGATGGAGCTGAATTGTTGCAAAAGACCAAATGACCCACAAGCCAAAAATATTTACTATTTGACCCTTTACAGAAAGAGTTGGTGACTAAAAGGAAAGGATGTCTAACATCCTCTACTTGTCATTCTTCAGGATCTTGGAGCGCTCTACCACTTGGCTTCGTGGAGGAGGCTTAAGAAATGGGCTGGATTTGAAATGGTCAGAGGAAGGGGTGGAGAGCGCTCTGGGCAGGAAGAAATCTGGGAGGTGGAGATAAGCCAGAACAGTTCATGGAATAGTGAAGAAAGTGGCCTGACGAGATTGCTTAAGATGGGTTAGAACTGAAATGTGGTTGAGAGGCAGCTTTTGTCTGATTTCCTTCAGTTCTGCCTTGGCTTAACCAAGCCTTGTGCCTGCAAGTATGTGTGTCTGATTGTCTTCCTAGGATAACTTCTGAAAGTAGAAATGCTGGTTCATGTAAGATGCAAACTTAAACATTTGATACGTTTTATCAAAATGTCCTTTAGAACGTTTGTGCAAATTTATATTCTCACACTTTAATTCATGCTGGGAGTGGGCTTTCTTTTCTTTTCTTTTTTTTTAATAATGGTACTTGGAATTGAACCCAGGACCTTGTGCATGCTAGGCATGTGCTCTGCCACTGAGCTATACCCTTCCCCTCCCCACCTTTTTTCATCTTTAACGGTCTACTAAGCAAAAAAATTTATCCTTTTGTTTTAAATGTCACTTATTTGCTAGTGAATTTGAATTTTTAACCTTTAGAGACTATCCATATTTTTATTATATTATCTTTTATCAAGTATGTGTATTTTTGCCAAGTTTAATCTGTCCATTTTTCATGGTTTCTGGCTTTCATCTTGTGCTTAGAAGGAAAGCCCATTTCTTCAAGACTCGTACGTGTTTTCTTCTGGTATCTCTGTTTTTAGTCTTTAAATTGAAATGTTTGACCTAGCTGGAATTTATTTTGGTAAGTGAAATGAGTTAGGGATATATATTTTGTTTGTTTAATCAAAATGACTAGCCAGTTACCCCAGGTCAGTTCTCCCTACTGAACTACATAAAATACTCAGTGGTTGTCTTTTCGAGAGAGAACTCTATCTTGACAGATTTCTGAGAAGAAAATGACAAAATCCCCATTGCAGTAGTTCGTAAGATTCTCAGTAAGTGATAAAACATATTTAAAAATGAGTAGATTTGAACAACTCGATCAACAGGCTTTATCTAGTAGACACTGGCAAATATACATTCTTTTCAAGCACATACAGAAGATTTAGAAAATTGACTACATAGTAAGCCATAAAACATCAAATTTCAAAGGAACAAGTATACAGACTTTGTCAGCTTTACAATTAAAAGCTGGAAATCAGTGAACTAGAAAGATCTTATGTTTGGAAACTCACAAATGCACTTTTATTTTACTTTAGAGGTTTTTTTTTAAATTTGGGGGGGTAGGTAATTAGGTTTATTTATTATTTATTTTAATGGAGGTGCTGGGGATTGAACCTTTGACCTTTGCATGCTAAGCATGCACTCCACCACTGAGCTATACCCTCCCCGACAAATGCACTTTTAAATAATTTATGGGTCAAAAAAATATTGGAAATCAGAAAATGTTTAGAATGGAACAATAGCAAAGGAAAAAAAAATCAGGGATGCCTCTAGAGCAGTACTTAGAAAAGTTTATACCTAAAGTATTTAATTTTCCCTTTCTTTTCTAATATAAGGAGCTGAGTTTACAAATGATGGCCATATTTATTTGGAAACTTAGATAAAAATGGACACATTCCCAGAAAAATGTTTCTTACTCAAAATGATTTAAGAAATAGAAAAACAGACCGCTTCCATTACCAGTAAAGGAACTGAATCTGTAGTGAGAAAATCTTTCTGTGAAACCATCTCCATTTTCTGTGTTTTGAGCGGTGGCATGACAAATTAAATTTTTTCCAAGGAGGGGGCAAATTGGTCAGCCTGTGGCAAGAAGTTGTGGAAATGTGAGAGTGCTGTGTTTCCCTGTCAAACAAAAAAGCTATGGATGGTGTGTAAATATCATGGGTGGTATGGGGCCTGCCCTGGAGGCCTGGATAGTTTCACGTTAACTTTCTCCTTGTGGCTGGTCGCTCAGGTGATTAGTGAGAAGAGTGAGGTATGAGTGTGCATACAGGGCTTGCTGGCAATGTCGAGACAAGGAGGGATGATCATCACCTCTCCTTGGGCTTCTAAATTGGTCAAATTAACTTTTATATGTATGGTCTTCCTTTTTTAAATTTTTTACTTTTTTTTTTTTTTTTTACAACCAGGGATATATTCCCTTTTTTGGTGGGGAGTAATTAGGTTATTTGTTTATTTATTTATATTTTTTTCAAACGGAGGTGCAGGGGATTGAACCCAGGAACTCCTGCATGCTAAGCATGTGCTCTACCACTGAGCTATACCCTTCCCGCATTCTTCTATTTTAAAAAATTTCGTTGAAAATAAAGATAGAACTGCTTTTTAAATAAATGATAAGATGTGCTTCTAAACTTCTTTGTAAATGTGCCCAGTGGGCAAGTTCCATTAGGTTTTCGCCATTTCCTAAAAGGGGACGCCAGCCAGGCTGTTTCAGCTGCCTTGTGTGGTGCCCAGCCTCACTACAGGTGTAAGCAGCGTCTCATATCTTAACATCCAGTGTTGAATTTATACCGTGATGGAGGCAATTCCTTTTCCCCAGCAGCAGCTCTGTTTTGTCAGGGGGAAAGTAGAATGAGTGGGCGAGGGAAATGAAGTGAAAGGTGTCTGAAAACATTTATGCTGAGGAATGTTCTGGTGTGATCTGAAATTGATGTTTTGCCATCATTCCTAGGGTCTTGCGGCCTCCAGGTGGTGGATCCAATTTTTCGTTAGGTTTTGATGAGCCAACAGAACAACCTATGAGGAGGAACAAAATGGCCTCCAGCATCTTTGGGACACCTGAGGACAATCCCCCGTCGTGGGCCAAGTCGGCAGGTACCACTTTTATCTGTGGTCACTGGTCAAGGGACAGGCCCAGCAGAACCACCTGAGCTGGCTTTGTGCAGAGGAGCAAAATCTAGCTTAATCATGAGATGAACAACTGCTGAAACTTGTCGCTGGCGGAGAGACTGGGAGTAAGAAGTGGGAAATACTGAGAGTCTGTGTGATGGCAGACTAAGGACTGCCGTCGGATTGGGTTATTTCGTCCATGTGCTACGTAACTTCCCTCCCTAACACAGTCTGCTCGTTTTGTAACATGAAACTAACACATTCAATAGTATTTTGCTTCAGTTCTTTCCATTGTGTTCCTTAAGAAAGTGCATTTTGACTCAGGTACAAAGTCCAGTGGTGGCAGGGAAGATTCTGAGTCATCTGGACCCCAGAGAAGGAACTCTTCTGAAGCAAACTCTGGAGACTTCTTACATCTGAAGGTCAGTGGGACAACAGCGGGGGCAAGACAGGCTTTGTGGTTAATACAGTTTTAGAAATTCAGTTCCACCCTATTGTACTAAGAGCTGCCACTGGAGTTTTACACAGAGGTCACCAGGAGAGGGACTGAGCATATTGGTGGTGGAAGATTGATAAAGAGTAGCTCACCTCTCTAGGTGAGTGTTCTGTTCACCTGTCTCTTCTACTGTTAGATTTAGTCTCCATCCTTCAGTATTGATTTTTGAAACTGGACCATACGCATTTGCTACCTATCTCATACGTAGTAGCATTTCTGCGTTCAAGGACTGTTTTAGTTGTGGGCAGATGTTGCCCAGTCATTTTAAGCTGAGCTCCGGGAGATGGCAGCATGGGTGTTACCATCAGTTGTCTTCAGGTGAGCCCAGCCCCTGAGCGCCCAGGTGTGTGTCTGTAAAGCCTGGTGGGAATCCTCCTGAGTAGGGACCTCAGAGAACCTGGAGGCATCAGCCAGCTGAGTGCGGGGGGACCTGTAGGAGGGCTATGGACTTGACAGAGTCCCCTCAGCAGCTAGACTGGGAGAAAGGAAGCGGGGATGGAAGGATGGGTTTGCTGGTTTCCTGTTCTGATAAAAGATTCCCTGAAATACTGATACTAGGTCATCAGCGTAAATGTTAAGGTTTATTTGGTGTTTCAGGCATGTTACTGGCGTTGGGGCAGTTTGCCCAGCAGTATTTTTGTGTTGCATTGTCCCAGGTTGAATAAAGGTTGCTTATTGTAATGGCAGCCTGACCCTGAACTTGACCACATGGAAACAAAATTTCGCAGTTGTGAAATAGTTCAGAGAAGCTACTGTCTCTTTGAAAACTATGATTATTTTATTTATGTGTTGCAAAATTGAAATCTGAAGTAAATTTTTAATTTTTTTTTGTTGTTTTTCTAGGGAGAAGGTGAAGTTCATGGTGAGTACTTCTGGAAAAGTATCACAATTTCTGGTTTTATAAATGGTTTTAGGATAGACTGAAATTTTAATTCAAATCGTGTCTTGGCAAAAGAGACTGAGGAGTGAAGCTGGCTTTGCCAGTTTCCTCTAGGTGGAGGGGAAAGAAAAATGAAGCTGGAAAGTTCGCAAGCATGTATGTCCACATTTGGTATCGGCCGGCAGTGAGAGCAATGCTAGAAATGTACTAGAAAAGGGAAAAACCCCAGAGAATCCTTTAAGAATATATGCATATCAATCAAGTTGGCATTTGTTACACTCAATGAGAGCTTTTTAGTAAAAGTCTCTGGCATTTCAAGCTCAGCCCACAGCATTTAATTTAAAAAGCGTGTTTGATTATATATTGAGGTGCTCATCCAGCAAGACACTGGTAACCCTGTGATCTCATAAATGATGATTTAACGGGCAGATGTAAATTTTCAGTTAGCACCCATATTATCAATTATATGTGGAAAGGAGCTAATCATTTTAAGTCTTTGAAGTACTTGTTGGCACGTCTTTAATGAGTAGCAGAGAATTACTGGTGCGTGTAATGAGAGGGTTACATGTGCTAGGCAGTAGCAATCAGGTTGAAGTTGACCCGGTGACATGCAGCCGCCACAGGGCCCTCTGGTCCAGGAGGATGAACAAAGCCGCTTCCTCGTGGCCTTTTTCTCCCATTACATTTTGTGAGGCAGTCTTCCAAGGAAACAGAAATACATAAGAACCACATTCCTATTCTGTCCTCTCAGTTGGTTTTTTTTTGTTTTATTTTTTAAGTTTTTAAACATTTTTATTTTTTGATGATTTTTAGGTTCTTGTTTCATTTTGGGGGGGTAATTAGGTCTGTTTAATTAATTTTTTTTTCATGGAGGTACTGGGGATTGAACCCAGGACCTCATGCATGCTGAGCATGCCCTCTGCTTGAGCTATACCCTCCCCCTACTCAGTGTTTCTCGATGGGCATGATGGGAGGGGAATCTTATGAACCCCTGTGACCATGACCTGGGTTCTTCCTCAGTGGACAGGTTGCTTTCTCACTGGACTGAAGGGCTAGACTTGCTCCTGTCCAGTTTTTAGATAGACTGTTCTGGAGGTTAAAAAAAAGAAAAATCTAGGCTTTCTGATTCTGGGCTTTTTGTATTCTGAAATACTTCTACTGTCAGACCTTATTTAGCAAGAATCAGCTAATCTTTATTCACTAATTTTGGCCAATGGTTATAATTAGAAATTTGGGGAACCCAGAGAACTGTGTGAGAACTTAGGAAAAGATGTGTCATTTGTCCTAATAATAGCACCCCCAGTTCAGTGTGTTATAGATTCTTCAGGTGAAACAGCACATAGTTCTATAGTATGACAGGTCTTTTTTTGGAAATGATCAATCAGTTTTGCCACCTGATTATTCTGTGTTCCTGACTGTTACTACTTTTAGCTCATTTGTCATAAAACGACAAGGGGGACCATCATTCAGGGACATGTCTGATGAGTAAAGGTCAGCCCCAGTTCTGTTGCCAACTTCACTGCAAAGTTAAGCTACTCTGCTCAGGTTAAATAAAACAGATTTTTCTGGATATACTGCCTCCATCTTTTGGGGGAATTAAACACAGGAATGGCTACAAGGAGGGCTTTTGAAATCTTTCAGAAAGCGGAAGAGAAGTTCCAGGAAGTTCAGGCCCAAGTCTTTCCCTGCCTTTAGGCAAGTCTGATGGTCTGCTGTGTCTTCTAGTGGTTCTAGTCTCCTGATCCTTAAGGTGCATCATTTATTCTCTTCTGACATTGGTGTCTGTTCGGTCACCTTATTGATGTGCCAAAGAAGAAAGACAGTCAGGAGTATATAAGATGTACGTTATGGTGGAAGTGTTTTTGTTTAAAATCCCATTTAAAAATTATTGGATTCAGTAGACAAAAGCCTTCTCTGTCAAGTCCTATAGACGTTTCTAAACCCTTACTTATGTCATTATGTAGATTAATCAGATGAAGTAACAAGACCTCCACTTTCTCTGGCTGGAGTATTTCTGACGACAAATGAGCATCTAAACCAACGCCTGCTGTTTAGTCTCCATGTGCCCTTTTTCCCTCCCCCTTTTCTTTTTTGGGATGTTACCTAGTTTTGAAAGACAGAACAGTTCCGTTAATAATGAGGAACAAGCAGAAGATTAGTGGGAATTAGCTTATTTATCATTTTACGGAGATAAACTCCCATGGTAGAGCTGAAAGATAACTTTGTGTCCTTCAGAAGTACTCAGTAGCTGCTCGGTGCAGACAGTGTGGAATCCAGTTAGATCCTGTGCAATGGGGAGGCCGTGTTCTCGCAGCTGAAATCAAACAGCTTGAACTGATACACTGGCTCAGGCTGAGTTCATGGTCTGTATTCATCTTAGATTATTTTAAAATGTAGGTTTTTAGGGTTATTTAAGGGCACTTTGTCGGAGGACTTGGGTGCTTGATGTTGACGCATTTGACCCAGTTGCTAAGCTAACGGGTGGCCCTTTCCCTCCAAGCTTTAGTTCATAACCCTGAGCGCCGCTGTCTTGGAAAGCTGCATGTTGGAGTTTTACATGTTGGATAGTATAGGTCATTATATGCCTTATAAGTGCTATCAAATGTTCCCAAAATTCATCAAATGAAATCTTCAAAGCAGCAGTAGTCTGTCTGAGATGTCGTATTTCTGATCTAAGGCTTCCCCCTTGGACTTCTTGGTTTTAGTTGGCTAAATCAAAACTTTGTACAGGTGGTTTTAGGAACATGTACTTTTAATGTTTTTGCCTTTGAGGAACTTAAAGTACATTTTTTCGAAGTTGGTACTTTTCATTGGTGTCTAGTATGAGACCACAGGAAGGTCTTAGTACATATCATAACCGGTATTTCTGCTCCACTACTTGCGGTCTTGGAACTTCTAAACTAGAGGAGGGAATAAATGTCTTTAACCCTGAAAGTAGTTTTTCTCCCAGGTCTTATAAATTAGTGTTTAATTTTCTACACTAGAAGTGCCTCTGTGTGTGTGATTATTTTAAGGCAGGTGTTAGATTACACAACTGAAGTTACTTTGATGCTTTAACATGAAAATGAGACTTGGTGTTTCTTTAACAAATTAAAAATAAGTCTTAACATGCCTCAAACTATCAAACTCTGTAGGAATTACCTTTCACAGAAAATCCAGTGCCTTTTCTTTTGCAGTCACTCTTGACTTTGAATCAGTAGAAACTACTCAGTTAAGAATACATGCTTGCTGGGAATTTCACAAGTCAGTGAATCAGTCAAGCGATAGCTAGGATCTTGGATAATAATACACCAATTCTCAAGACTTTAATGTGGAAAGTGCCAGGTTAATATAATGGCACTGACCTGATTACAGAGATGTTACTACCACTCAGTAGGGGGACAGTAGATTCTTTAGTAACAAGCGAGTAGTAGTTTTCACGCATCAGTTTGGCAGAGGTCAAAGTAGGTGGTTACCAGGTGGTAGATGTGGAAAGAGGTAAGGGGAGCATATTCTGACATGGGTGGTGGGGTAGACCTTGGTACAACCAGCCAGGAAGGTGGTGTGTAATGTCTGTTCAAATTGAAGATGACAGCCCTGTGTCCCTGTGGGCACACATTCCAGAGTGTACGCATTACAGCTTGGGAAGGGTTGGATTGATTCTGTTTTTTGCTATCAGTTAGAGGGTTAATCATATATACTCTTCTCTATATATACTATAAAGCAGTTAATTAAGCAAGCTGAATTACGACCATGTGTATAAATAGTAATTGTTTTTAAAAGTTGGTATCATTTATAGTAAAATACAAAAGCAGTGTTCTGTGTTACTTGCTGGAAAATATATACAAAATATACATCAAACAAATGGACTAGAGGAATGCACACAACTCGTATATATGTCTTCATGTATTTATGAACTGTAGAAAAGAACATACACAGCAAAGGCCTGGGGACGAATATGGCGAAACAGTGACAATGGTTAATCCTGGATAGGGGCCACATGGTTGGTGACTGTTGGTTTCTTCTTTGTAGCTCTAGGTATGGTTTGAACCATCTTCAAACAGACTCTTCATCTTCTCCGGGAATAGTTATTAGCCTTAATAGCCTTCATTTCATTCTCTGTTTTCCTAGAAAACGTGGACACAGACTTGCAGGCCAGCCTGGGGCAGAGCGAGGAGAAGCCCGTGCCCGCCGCCCCTGTGCCCAGCCCGGTGGCGCCAGCCCCAGCGCCGTCCCGGAGAAACCCTCCTGGTGGCAAGTCCAGCCTCGTCCTGGGTTAGCTCCTCCTGCCCTGAACTCTGTCGTTCTGTTTGTTTTCTCCATGCTTGTGAACTGCACAACTTGAGCCTGACTGTACATCTTTTTGGATTTGTTTCATTAAAAAAGAAGCACTTTATGTACTGCTGTTCTTTTTTTTTTATTTTATTTTTGTTTTGGAAGAACAGGTTCAGTCTGTCCTGATTCCTCTGGGTCTGTAGGCCATGGCATGAGTGTTTTCTAGTAGTAGATTGGAGGGAAAAGCTTTGTGACACTTAGTACCGTGTTTTTAAGAACAAATCATTTGGTTCTAAATGTGTTAAGAGGGTCTTTTGTACTGAGGTTTTTAAAACCCTTTTCTTGTCAGCTTTACTTGGGTTTACCAAGCCTGCACTGGACAGGCCAGTAGACAGTCCACAGGCGCTGTCCCTTCAGGCCCCCAAACAAAGTTGTTTTCATGCCGAACTTACTTGGCGTTGCCCTGACTTGTCAGTGCCCTTTGCTAAAAGCATCTTCTGTGCCATATGGAGTGATAGAGGCCTGCGCCTCATGCCTTGCTGCCTGCAAAGCAAAAACAAAAACAAAAACAAAAACACCTTACCTTTCTGAACCTTAAGAAATCTTTAAGCCAGATACTAACCTGACTGGCTGAGCAAAGCCCGCTGCTCCCATGCAGAGGAAGGCTTCTGTGTACAAATTGATGGATTCCAGGTGGTGAAGCAAGGGCGGGGACCACACAGAAGTGGGTCTTCGTGGTGCACGGACCCCACGGGGGCAGTGCTCTTAGGTAACTTGAAGCTGTGTGCATGATGCTGGTGCTAGACCATGAAATGAAAGTCTCATCCTTAAAATGTGTGTTGTACTTTCACAATCCTGGATTGTTGCTTAAAGTAAACAATGTACAAATTTTGAAACACTGTGTCCTGTGTCATCTTTTTTTGAGATTGTTTCACTGTTCTACCTGTTCAGTTGCTTTCTCCTTTGGTGCTGTCAATCCTGCCGCCCAGGGATTTGATGAGCCATTAAAATTAAAAGACTAACAGAGGCCCAGAGGGAAGTGGGCTTGTCTTTAAAGAAAACAGGTTGAAAGGCAGAGCATGAGTTCAAAAGGCCAAAATAATTTACTGATACCTGGTAGTAAAATACAGGACTAACATGTATAACTGGTATCCAAAATAATTATTAGCTAATAAACTAGACTCATCTACTACCTACCATCTGTGCTGGGTGATAACATTCAACATTTTGAGTCCCCTCATGCTTGCAAGGTACTTCTCAATGGTGGGCGGTCAAAGAAAGGCTCCGAAGAAAGGAAGGGTCCATGTGGAATGTCTTAAGTCCTCTCAGGAAGATGGGAGGAAGCTCACAGGGTTCTAGGCAGAAAGTTCCAGATCAACATGCTATATGAAATGTCCAAACTGGGGCACTGTGAGACCTAGCTTTTTAGGTTTAGCTGTGCTACTGAGCAGCTATGTTCTTGAGCTTGTCATTTAGGGGCTCAATTTCCTAACTTAAAGATCTTTCGGTGCGGGGCGGCGGGGGGGGGGTAGCTCAGGGGCAGAAAGCATGTTTAGCATGCGCAAGGTCCTGGGTTCAACCCCTTTAAATAAATAAACCTAATTATCTCCCCCACCCCAAAAAAATTAAAAAAAATTTTAAAAGACCTTTGAATGAGGTCACCTTTAAAAACTCCCATGATTGAGATGATTCAAGCCTAGTGGGTAACCACCCGCTCATTTGACCTATTGAGCATCTCTGGGGAGAGTAAGTAATTACAGTTTGTCGGGGTGTTAAGTTTTCCTTCCTAATCATATAAAGCAGTTGCAAAATGGAGAATGAACAGCTATGCTTACAGGATCCTTCTAGTTCCACTAAAACAGATTGGCCCTACAAACAGCTTGACCTGCTATGACTCTTTGGAGGTAGGAAACCTGCACCCCTTCTCTCAGTAATGGTGGAGCTCCTCCTAGGAAAGAGGTCCTTAATTTGTTTTTTGAGAGGTCCCTAATTTGTGTCACAACTTGTAACTTGGCTTTAGTTTTCTTATTCTATGAAGGTAAGTGCCTAGTCAGAAGGTGTTCTGAGGGATAGTTCTGCCAGCCATTTTGGTACTATTAATGATTTTAGAGAATTCTATGTAAACATGTTTGCTAAGGGTGTTGAATTTCCACTTAGAAAGCAAAGCTTAGGGTTTAGGAGGGGGAGGGTATAGCTCAAATGGTAGAGCAGAGATGGAGCCAACCCCACAGGTTTAAGAAGTCTTCACTCCTTATTAGAAGCCACTTCTTAGCATGCATGATGTCTTGGGTTCAATCCCCAGTACCTCCTCTAAGAATAAATAAGTACTAAATAAACCTAATTACCCCCCCCAAAAAAAAGCTTAGGGTTTAGAAAGTGAAGTCCAATGATCTTAAAATGACGGCAGAAGAATCTAGCATTTCGTTGACAGTCTGGACTTTTTACACAGTTGTGTGACTTCACTGGCTTGGTAAAGGAGGTGAGAAAAAAACCAGCCCAGGACTCAGTACTTAATTGCTACTGCTGATTCTACTGCTTAAGCGTTTTAATATTCGATCACCAGGCTCCCCTTCCTAATGTTTCTGTTACACTGGTTTGGAAGTACTAGGGTGCTCAACTGGGAAACTATAGACAGATGGGTCACAGACTCAAATCTGAATCTAATTTGTAGGTAAATATATTTGTATTTGTCAGGAAATTGTGTTAAATCTACAAAACGAAAGTCAACAGAACAGCAATGTTCAGCATTTTCTAGGATACAGCTGCCAATTCTAGAGAAGTGTCAGTTCCATAAAAAGGAGGACAGTCCGGTTTACCTGATGGAAAATCGTCTCTTCCAAGTGAGATCGGATGATTAAACTAGATGCTCCCATGTTTCAAGCAGACTCTGGTTTATGAACTCATCTCTGAGGAGCTCAGCTCACACGAACCAATGGTCTTCAACAGATTCATTTACTTCAAACAGCTACTGGAAGCCCCCATACTCAAGCCTTGGGTTGGTGCTGCCTTGACGCCGTGGGAACTCTGCTTCTGGGGTCCCCACAAGCATGGGGGCCAGGTATGGATTCTAAGAAAGATGGAGCCAACCCCACCGGTTTTAGAAGTCTTGACTCCTTGTTAGAAGCCGCTTCTCAGTATTTAGCAGAGTCCCGGGTCAGGCCCCTGGAAGGTCAGCCCCAAGCAATCTTTGGGGTGAGCGGGGACGTCTGCTACAGAGTTGGGGGGCAGCCGATGTGCACGCGGGCTCGTCCTCAGACCAGAAAAGCGACCCAGGCCGACACCACGCGGAGTCCTGGGGAACCTGGGAAGCTCTCGCGCTTCCGCAGGGCGGGGCACCCCGGGCCC